TGTGGTTTGCAAGTGTTTTCCTGATATGACTAGAACATTTGACAGTCCGTACCTTCAACAACACAACTGTTATTTTTATACCGGGATACATGTTTATTGCCCGGAATTCTAGTTCCAATTCTTCATAATCATGATATGTGACCCCATCACAATATTTACTTTACTGGACATTTTCAATTACAGCATTCAAAAGAAATTATGTCCCTGAATGAAAGGTTTACCTTCTTCAGAGACAATTATTATAGCACTAAAAAAACTTTGTGTAACACCAATTCTGATACAGGAACAAAGCAATATATGCGAGAGTGCATGACGTATTTTAAGCACCTAACGATTTGACTGTTAGTATTTGATGGACTTTAAAATAATGAACACCGTAGTATCGCTGTAATTATAGTCGTTGCTCAAATTATTAGTCCGTCAGATCACCCATAATTTTAATCACTGTATAAAAAGGTAGATAACTGACTTGATTGGTAGTCACATCAATGTGATACGAATGTCAGGAAATCCGTAACTCTGAAAACTATTGTCCTTTTGAAATCATTTACTTGAATAATGGGTGTATATATGGTTTCATACTTAATAACAAGCATTCAAAACGATAAAAACAAACGAACAGGCATAGAGATTATTTCAATATTGTCGGATGGATGCTAACTAACTTCATCAATGGAAAGCGAGTAACAACCTGCGCGACAAAGTAGTAGTTACTCATGAGTAATATGGCTGCATAGTTGTATGAACGTTACGCCTCGTCAGTGTAAACTACCATAAGTTTGGGCCAATCTTAGAGACTGAATTCGACGTAAGAAATTCAGATGATATGCATCTGGTGCAATCAGACGTAGGGTGGGAGGGGATCTCTACATATAAGAGTCAGATAGAACATTAAACAACAATGTCTTCCAGATAGGTCTGTGTAAGTTTCACAAGTGACTGCTAAGGTAGCACAAGAGTCGAACATGACTTAATCAGTACTGATTATTAAAGATAAATTTGGCAAAAAACAGAGTATTTCTATAGAACAACCAAGTCAGTCAGCTACAAGGTAGGACCAGACACATATAGGTCGGTCCGAGTTGACATACATCATTAGCAGAACAAGATGAACACCAAATCCATAGAAGCAATTACTTCAATAGTAGTAAAGAAAAGAATTCATATAAGGATATGATACAGGGAAAGAGTAGTTCGTAGAAAAGTACAGAGCAACTTTAGTCTCACAGTTTAAGGGAAAACAAAGAGTGTATACACCTATGACATTGTGATCGATTCTGAGCCATGCAAAGCAACAAACGTCGGTGTCCAAGCTGACTTTTACTTTTGCGAGTGACAAGAAATATGATTTCATCAGGAGGAATTATTTGCTAAATGTACCTGCAAAATTTAGCATAACAATTGAGTTACAACCTTTGTGTTAGTATCATAATAACCTGACTGCTCAAACTTTAGTGGGTTGATCAGGATCCAATCATAGTCATAAAAATATGGATATGAACTGTCTTTAATAACAACTGACTGTTTAATTAACTTGGTTTTAGCTCAATAATCCCATTTATGCTTAATGTACAAGGAGTGGCGTATACATACCCTTACACAAATATGAACAGATTAAGGGAAAACGTTTAGATTGGTGGCAAAAATACGATATTTTGGTGAATGCCGTGAGTGTAAATAAAAATAATCCTCTGCATTGTTACACAAGGCATTAAATTCAAAAAACAACCAAGTACACGAGTGAACATTAAGTAGTCTATATTAGGTAACCCAATGTTCTTCCCTTATATCTTGATGAAGATGCGTCTTTTTACGACATGTAACTACTTATTTAATAACGAGATTTTGCTAACAATCTGAAATCAACTTATACAACCTAAAAGTTGCAAATGGAATGCCCAACCAACAAATTACTCCTTAATTAACATGAAGTTTTAGGTTTACCTGTAACCTTTCAACTCTATCTTAATTACTCGGTAAACTATTTGCAACTTCACATTCATAACTGAAATTTAGTGCAGAAATGTATGATAAACGACTGCAGATTCCTTGAGTCAGTTGCTGAAAGTAAACGAAGTCTTAAAGAATGCGGTTCGAAACATAATATTTACTCTATCGTGTTGTAATAACTGAACATGCTATTACTTGTCCTATAATCGGTCTTAAATTTTTCTATTGTTGCTCTGGTCATGTTGATTTTACGGCACTAGGATTTCAGTGAAGTGTTGATTCATTGCGCTATTTTCTGCAGTTGGTTGTCGCTTTGATCTATAAATTATCTCAGAAGTCATATAAAACATTTCAGCTACCCATGAGCTTATTCTTTACGTTTGTTCCATTATATCACTAAAGTTTCCCACCTAATTTGTTTGACTACGAAGACAGAAGCACTGACCTTATTTTACCGCCTTTCATCTTAATGAACCAAAAGAGGAGTCTCAGGTACCATTTATTACGGATGAGAGGATACTAAAATGAAACGAGTTGATAACATAAGTAGTACAACTATGACTGAAATTACTCATTATTCTTAACGTTATTGTCCCTGTGAGTAAATTTATGCGCCGAAATCGTTGAACTATAACCATAGCAATAACTAAGTATAAGAAACCTCCCTGCAGCCAATTATTATCAAGAAAAGAAAGATGTGAGATTAAAATATATTTTGAAACATAGGGAAAAGTTACAAATAGGATAAAGCTTTGGTTTCGTCTACTGTCGAGAGTCCCAAACAAAAATAAGTTACTAGAAATACTTAGATGAAACACTATGCAAAACAGTCACAAGACCATGCACAAAACACTGCAGCTGTAATAAACGCCCAACCTGGCTACTATTCAGAATCCCTGTGCAAACGCAAGCACATTTATGTATTCACACTAGTGCATCAGCAAGTTAAAACCAAAATATACAGAACGTTTACTAGAACTTACGTCTTAGTAATTTACCAACTATTTTAAACCAGTGACCCACAAATAAGGTTAGAACGAAAAAGCTTTACTCGTTTATAACGCGAGAAAGAAAATGGATATCTGAGATATTTGGTAATCAAAAATTACAAGAAACCTGAGAAGAAAATAATTGTAAATCCCGTCCAGCAAACCCAGTCTTGTGCAAGAATTAAATACATAGTTTACAACTGCGTAACGTCATGATTTGGTAACCTTATAACTACTATTGAGAAGTACAAAGTGAAAAAATATGAGTACTTGTGATTATTTGAATCATGCAAAACCCTGTTTGTTCACCATGTTAGCATGAAAGTTATGTACGGACCCTTCAGGCTGTCCCGCCCCCAAATGCCCTGGTATGGCCGAGAGTGTGGGGAGTCCGCTCCCCCTCTCGAAATGCTCTCACATGGCCACGCGTGTACAGCCTCTGCCAGGGAAGTCCTACTCACTGCCTTCTCGCACCACGGGTGTTGTTTACGAAAATGAGAGGACGAAAAGCGAATGTCTGGCGCTTTAACCGGACCCCAAACCAATGGTGCACATGGGCTCCAGTATCCTGAAGGAACAAATGGCGTATGAACCAATCCTTGGTCACCGGCTACCATGGGACTGCATCTCCTCACGATGCTCCACTGCCTTGTGGGTAAGACGTTCAGGTCAAAGGCTCGGGGTGTGGCCCCCTAAGAAAACCACCTGCTTCGGTTTGGGCACCCGAGCAGTATCACAGCCCTCACACATATCAAATGAGATATTTGTGGCGAATATGTATTTGGTGCCTTCTTGTACCGATATCTATGTGTTAAAATAATAATAATAAATCAGGCTGTCCCACACTCACCACAGAAATCATTGGTACTATACGAAAATAAGACGATTAAATACATCATTTATTTTGGTATTGCGTTTTCTTTAGCTGCATAGTTTGACCACAAAACTTCTTACTTTCTAGATATTGTCTTCAGTGTTTTATTTCATCTATTTGGAGAGTTGAATCAGCTATGGCAGGTTGGCTAACTACAGAAACTAAGCACGGAGTCACTGGTTAATCAACTTTATTCATAGTAAGCATATTGAAATGGTCAGCATCGTCCGATATAATGCAACCGTGTAAGCAAGTAATTGCAATGTCCTTTAGTTAAAATACAGACATATAATAATACAAATCAAGACAACAGACAAATATTGCTAAAAGACAGAATTTTGGACTGTTACAAAGATGTTCATATTAAATTGAGTACTGAAGTGAAATTTATAGTGTTGCCTCAGTAACTTGAGAGCGAAAAAGTGAAAAAAATCTGAGAAAACTTCTTGTCTTAGTTTACTTTAAAGCTCTTAGTGGTGACCCATATTTCTTTTCAAAAGTTTTATCAATTCTTGGATAACTTAACCAAACTATGACAGGGCCTGGTCATCATGACGCCTACCCAAAAGTCAACCACTTAAGGCAGAGTTGAAAATTGTGAGACTGAGTGAAACTTTACACAGAACTAGTTAAATGTTTATAATCAACAAAAACAAGAAACGAATAACCTTGAAAAACTAGAACATTAGCTAAGTACATAAATCAACATAAGTAGCATTACAAAAACTAGGTGCATGATTCACCTACCAGGTAACTATGCTACATTTGTACGCTGCCAGTAGCACTGAATATTACCAAATAAACTGAAGGATATTCATGCAAAAACGGAATATGCAGTCATCATGGTTAACTAAGTAACGCAGTATAGAATGGTCAGCACACCAATATCGGGATAAATATGGTGGTTTACACATCGACCGACCTCAGGTACCAGTACAATCATGGGAATTAGACCCGCGGTACCGATGTGCAAACACATGGTCATCTGACTATCATCATCACATCAGTGAGTAAAATAACTCAGGGAGAAGTCATTTCATCTGAGACGCTACAAGACCTGTATTGTCAATTTGCGTCGTACCATGAAAAGGCTACGAATATCTACAACCTATTGTATTAAAATAAATAGGTGGTTTCACAAACAAATCGTGGATACAACAATCATGCCATGCACAGACGCAACTTACTTTCACAATCTGGATTGACAGACCACTCGATGTACAGGCATGACGTCGAGGGGAGCGAGGACTGTACAACTTCGAGAAAGGAGGCTGTGGAAAGTATGGTGGGGTGTTTGGACGTGGAGATATAATTGTCCCGCCCCATGTGAAGGCCGAAGAAACGTTATTGTAAGAACCGTCTAGGTTTAAGCAAGGGGACTCACTGTAACTAGGACTGTAGAGACATCCGTAGAACGATGCAGACATTGGCCCAACTACTATTCCCGTAGGCAGTGCAAGCATTGCTTCCAGAGATTGTCCTGCCTTTACTTGCATTAAATTCTCTCGTAGTACCTTCTGAGTAGCTCTATCCGTGAGCCATCTCAGAAATAGTTCATCCAGTTTTAATTTCAAGGCTGAATTGATCGGCATCGCCATTATCTTGCAAAAGCAGTATGATTATTAACACACCCAACGTCTAACAAAATAATGTAGTTAACTGTAGTAATTGTAGGAAAAGATTATTTGGACAAAAACCCTACCCATAGAATTAAGGATGGAGCCTTTAATAATACCAAAACACCACAAAACTTTCACAACAGGCTTTTGAAAGCCGCAAACACATGTTAGTCTTTCGGAGTTTCACCAAAATCAAATGTGGTCATAGTATCAATAAGGTCAAACACTTCAAAATTTTGATTCAATATCCAATGGTTCAAATGGTTCAAATGGTTATGAACAGAATAGAAGAAGCTTTCGCTTAACAGGCTTCCGTGTATAGTAGCAGGGGATCAGCAATACCTCTGGTCAAGAACCTAGGTATATAACGATAAAAGAGAAAAAAGAAATTGGTAAATCATAGTAAGATACTATCCTTAGTCCTTAAGAATAGACAGTGCCCCCAGCTTTTATACGGATGAATTCAAAAGGTTATGGACAGAAAGAAGAACACTATTCGGATCTTAACAAGTATGTTTTTTGGTTTCGATATTTGGAACAGACTCACAGATTTTTTAAGCGAATGGCTAGGGATGTCCATGTAATAATTAATAAAACGGATGACTTCCATGTGCCTATTAGGGCTACAAATAAAAAATGCAAACAGCCTGATGTCAAATCGATCGCATCTGTTTATTCTGAGTTGCTTGTTCGTATTTCCATCATACAATTGCCAAATATCCGGGAACAAGTCCCAATTCAGATCAACGAGGTCTCCTGAACCTCAGTGCTTTCATTGTAGGTCATGGCACTCCACTCATCATTACCTTTGAAGTAGACCCTTCTTTACTTTTCACTTGTGGGCGACTCAAGAGGCAGGTGAGTAAACACCTGATAGCCGGACAGAGCATGGAAAAATCGGACCTCACCTACATGGTGTTAGGTAGCCCACTGGCGGCACTTCTTCAGGCATTCTTGTTCCATTTTCTCACACTCTCTTGCGAGCACGTAGCGAACCGTCAGCGATAGTTGTAGAAAAAATTGCATGCTACAAAATAAGATGACAAGCTGGCAAATGAAGAGACATCCACGAACTATCATCGATTACCGACGGAGTTAGTCGTCATTGATTTGAAGTAACAGTGAGCGAGTTGATAATTCTCCCTTGAGCTGCGGAAACAGAACTAAAATGCTTTTGATAGGTAGGTTATCGAACCGACGTTCCTACGGAAGTAGAATCTAGGGGGAAGCTAATGTAACAGCTTATGTCGATTAGTTAAGAGTTGATCTCGGGCAACTAAGCATATGTCAAAACAGTATAGTTCAGATATTTATTTACTTCTTTATTCTGCATAGGCGTTATATTCCTAATTATCTTTTATTGTACGTTGAGAGGTTTTGTTTGTCTGAGTAAAGAATTCCACGCTCCACTTTGACTGCGCGAAGATTAAAATAAAGACCTATATCGTACTAGTCTGGTTTCTTCTATGAATAATACGAGGGTTACCCATAGGCACGAAAGATATACTGACTCCTCAAAAAGACTTATATGTGACAAGACCAGAGTACCAGAAAATACCTCCTCCCATCCCAATGAATGTAGAGTGCTATTAGTGAACAGAGGCATTACTCTATCCGTCACCTACTTTGTGAGACTCCAGTATTGCATTTTTCACCACTAATAACGATTTGCGCATCACTCTTTGTGATATTCTGTGTATCTCTTCCCACTACTCGGTCACTTCTATCGTTAGCTTGAATGTTTAGCCGTTTGTTTTCCAGAGGGTACAAAACGAAAATCATACACTTCTATGGTCAGGAGTACTCAACGACTACCCCGATGCAAATCCCAAGGAGCAAACAATTTACCAGTTCTCCCAGGCGAAATCGAAGTTCAGTCTAAATCAATGTGATTTGACTTTCCCTAAACTTTAAGATGCAATATGATAATGTCTTTCCTAGTTATCAGTACATTCTGAAATATCTGTGAAGATGCCACAGGTATTCGGAGTTTGACAACGCTTTAACCAGTAACACCTTCTAATATGAATTGTACCCACCAAGTGAAATCAAAGAAAGAAGAGAGGAGGTTCGAAGATATATTTGATAGGCTATCAATATATCGAGGATCGTCCGATCTAATCTGGCTAGCGATTGCAGGGGTTGTTGAGCACGGCATTCCCACTCGTGATCTGGTGCGGATGCATAACCGAGTGCCTTCAGCTAGATAAGTCCATTAAAACTAATGTGGTCAGCATTAAATGTCGAAAACTTACAGAGCTACTTATTTTGGGGATTTATTTACCGCTACAGCTGCCTGTCGTTCAACTTGAACTTCATGTGGTCTAAAATTTTCTCGATCCAATTCCAATGACTTTTTTGTTCGTTTACTTTAATAGGAACCAACACCCACTCCAGATAGGTGATGCGTATTCTTGACCTAACCAACAGAAATACTGGAGTTCCCAGTAAGTCCGGATATTAATGATACTACGAGTGTCAATTTTTTATGTCGGTTTATCATACTGTTGAATCTTGAAAATACTATCAGGTATAAAATAGTGGGTTTTGTAAAGTCCTACTTTGGAGCTTTTCATACTTCAAAATACCTGCGTCATTTTTGGAAATTAGGGATATAATGTACCTTTACAGCTTAGATTCAGTTGTAGTAAATTCGACTGCGAGTTTTGAGCGTAAAATTAGCTCTTCTTTTCACTCACTCACACACACTCTCTCTCTCTCTCTCTCTATATATATATATATATATATATATACGTAAAAACAATGAAATAACACTCATCGTGCAGTTGCGTCACTTAATAATTATACAGTTTCGCAGTGATTGTCAGATGATATTGAGTAATCTGAAGCAAACAAATCATAATGATCGAAGTAACTTTTTGAAAATTTAATGTTGCTACGTTACCTAATAACACAGTTGGACGCCGGCTCAGTGGTCTAGAGTTTAAGTATTCACGTGAGAGACCGAAGGTCCTGAGTTCAAGTGTGGCATGAAGGACCGTGGATACACCCTACCGAGAAGTTCCGTACTGCGACGAAATGGCTATCCAATGCTTTCAGGCTTTCACTGGTGGTCTAGCCAACATCGACCCATGAATTCTACCAATGAAAATAATTGACAAAATATTTTGATGGAAGCTCAGTCTCACGGAAGCTATTCACGAATCGGGGGATAGATTTTGAAAATATGTAAGAATACAAACGTGAAAAGTTAGAAGTTGTGTGAATACGTTCAGAAGAAAGAATTTAATAAAAGTTCAGCTGAAACTCACTCCTACACCGTTGTATAAGGTAGCTAGAGATGTTGCGCAAACTTATTTCGGATGAAAAGTTTGGGCTTGTGAACATGGATTCCGATAGTTTCAGCAATATTCAAGATATGAATTTGTAAACTATGTGGTAAATTTGACTCAATGTTGTGGGAAACTATAAAAGCTTTGTTTAAGTCAACTTGATCTCTTGTGTTCACCAAGTGAGCGTGTAAGAAGTGATTACCCACAGACAAGTACCTATACTGTCGTACACAATCTTGACAGAGCTATGGTCAAAACAGGTTACTATGAATGTAGACAACAATTATAATCTGTTTCTAAAATACAACCAGTGCAAAGAGGCAAAATAATATTTAGTTACAAAAAAACAATAAGCTCGAGCATACAAAACAGTGGTAGAAACATGAGAAAATGGGCCAACAACAAGGATTAGTCATGTCTTTGTGACTGGTGCGATTTCGTGATTGATAATCAAGTAAAAAGTGTTAGAGTTATAACCATTCTGGGTTTCAACTGGTCTTATGCGGTGGGAATGTTGCGAGAACATTATTAGATGATTCGTTCTTATCAATAGAGAAAAATAGACCGAGAATAGAATTCTTAATCACGCTTATACATCCCTTGCTCATCCAAAACGGATGGTGTTCTGCGATGCGATGACAGACTTGTTGAATTGTAGGCCCGGTTGACTGGCTCCACAGTAGCAGTTGAAGTGGTAGGTACACATGGATGTGGCGGTATCATCTAGCCTGCTTTTATTGATTGTTTTCACTATCAAGCGATTGTAGAGAACTTCTTTCAATTTGGCTGCACCAACATTCTTATTCTTTGAGTTACGTTCTTCTCGGTAGTGTCATTTCGAAATTGTAATTTTAAGAACAGTGTCATATGCGAAACAGAAGCTAACTTAGGTGTTGTTTTCTTTTCATTCATGTGTTCGTTGTTGAATTTCGTTGGATTTCCATTCCTACTAAGCAGCTTACGAATACTACTTAAAATAATACCTTTGACCTTGCCTGTACACTGGCATGCCTCATGTAACGAACTGTTATTTGAGAATAAATTATCAGTATTGCAATGTCATCGACAGAAAATATCGTTTTTTACTAAGTTTCTCATGTGTGTGATTGGTATATCACTATAGAAATAAGTATATTTTCGAACTGCAGATTTTTAATGTACCGCTCTTTTGATTTTTCATCTACACTTCTTGTTTAGTGGACAACTGGAAACTATGTGCTTTTACTTTATTCTTCCTCACGATTGAAATTAATAAATTGGTTTGAGACCACTCAGATAATTTCTCCATGTCATTTTGGAGTTCAATACTATCATACTTACATCGTATCGCTCTCCATATCTTGACATCGTCAGTGTATAGCAAGACCGGTGATGATATTAGGCGAGGAAGGTCATTTACATACAAGAGGAATAGCACTGGCTCCAAAACTGTACCCTGGAGCACTCAACTAAGCACAGATTTCCAGCTAGATAACTTTTAGTTCACCCGTACTCTTTGTTGTTAGTATGAGCTCAGAATTAAAATTTGGCTAAGCAAAACGAATGTATCTTATAGCTTAAAATAAAGCTTTCAGAAGTCTATTACATCACAGATTAACAAATCAGTCTGCATAGAGGTAGGTACAGTATCTGGCATCTCCGTCGTTGAACGCTGTTAGGAGAGGCTATTGAAGAGAAATCCAAGCAGAGGTACCTGTTCTTGGCAAATTATTTTACCTGAGTGTTTGTTCGAGATATTACACTCAAATGAAGATGCCAGTTTTGTATAGTCTCACCAAAATCTCTGGTCTTTACTGGATTAGTAGCAATTACTCATCAGATACATCTATAAGATTCACACATCATTTGGTCAAATTTGATGGGAGACTACTAGGTTGAGTCATTAAAACAATTAACTGATGCTTTCAAACATATCTTAGTTAACTGTTTGCTTACAGATTTCTACTATTATTGCATATTAATGTTATAACACTGTTCGATTATAAATCAACTATATGCAGCTTTTTTGCGATCGAACTAGTCATATATTCTTCTGCCTCAATTGCTCCGAATTTTTCCAACGTAGTCCTAACTGCATAACAATGGAGCTTCAAAGCCAAAGTTCTTTGATTATCTAGAGCCATTACTTCAAGCATCAGAATTAAAGATATTTGGGCAGAAAAAAAACCGATGGTGGGAGAAAGACGACATTCATCGAGCCGTATGAGAGGCAAAATAACTGAAGAATCTCAAAATCGAGTGGGGCATTACCACATTTTGCAGGAATCGAAATGTGTACCAGTTGACAGGCTCAAATCTATTACAAAAGTTCAGTAGCTAGGTCTCTAAGATTTTAACAAATATTTCCAAAGCAAGAAATTTGTCAAGACCAGTGGTTAGTAAAATCTGACAGATTGTTTCACCCTTGATTTTATGGTAATTCCAAATCATGGAATCTAAACAGTCTTCAACAGTGATTTACTTCAGCTCATGATTATCTGAAACAGAACTCAATCGGAATTACGAAAATGGAACATTTGGCAAAATTACGCTTGAATTATGTCGAACTGATGAATGGGCTTAGAAACATCCAAATCAATAACGATGAATTAATTCAAACACAGTAAAAAAACGCAATTTCGAAGTTTAATGAAAAGAATGAATGAAGCGAAGAAATATTTTCTAATCATGTAACCGAAAGGAGATGCTGAAAATCCCTACAAAATACTTTATTACACAGTTTTGTCATTTATTTGCTCCATTTTTTTGCCTTGTACTCTAACCTTTATTCACATTCCTTTCAATTACATTTTATGTTCTTGAGTTTCCCCTCTTTAGACATAGATTATTTGACCTTGGTTAAAGATTTGCACATTGTTAATTAGTTTTACTACTGAACGTTGCCGGATTATTGGAAATATGGTCGTGTTTGACCGAACTTGATGTTATGATGTAGTTCAGTGTACTATTGTTAACTTTTATGCGCGCTTTACCAACGGGAAGTTTAGCCCTAACGTGATTTGCATTTCTCAAAATTCTTCAGTGTCCTTATGCAACGAATTTGTCCTGAGCTTGACATTCGTTCTGAGTTTTACCTAATTTATTAGCTAACTGTAGTTTTGCCTCAGCTTACTATTGAAGTTTTCAGTTTTTCACGTGAAGGCAAGTTTCAGGTTATCCTAACCCTTTGTACCCCCCGCTTTTATCCATTTTTGTCCGTTTTTAGTGCAATTTTTTTTCGTTTTATGGTTGTAGACATCGTTAGGATTTATATAGCGATTTGCGTCACCATAGTCATGAAGAATTCATGCAAGCGACCCGGATGCCGTTTTGCTGTTACATATGGCGTGCAGTGTGACGATTGCAAGGGTTTGTTCTACGAAGAGTGCACATACCTTACAGTACCTGCTTGTAGCAGACTCAGTAAGTCAGATCACAGGTGAGTATGTGTCACGCGCAACACGAATGCTGAGGTTTAGTTAAGCAACATCGTCATTCTCTTGACAAGTCCGCGAAATAAGTTGTCAGCAAACCTGATAAAAGGCTGTCCTTAAATGGGTATATGAAGATATTGGCGCAGTGAAGGCAAGAAGATGGATCCCGACAACGCTACTATCGATGGAGCAAGCAATAACACTAGTGATGATAAGCTGAAACTCAGCACCCTTGGGGCTCACAATACAGGGTCCCTTAATCAAATGGTGGTTCCCGAAAATTCAGTTGGTGGACCCCGTTAACAAAGTTTAAAAGATCAGGCGTCACTGTTTAAGAAGCTGAACATCCAAGTATTTTAGTAAAAACAGTTGGAGATTTGGTCTCACATTCTACCCCCAAGAATGTTTATCCTATCAGCAAAGAGCATAGGAATTGGGGACGCGCTTCAACCTCCAAACAACAAGGCTCTCAATCTAAACGTACCAAAAAACCTGTGAACACAATAGCGGTCCGCGAAGATTCTCCCATAATCATAAAACTTAGAGACAACTCTGACCTCCCTCCCAGTTCGCAGGGCGAACATGATAGGATGCCCTGGGAAGCTCGAACTTTCAAAAATAGAGCCGTTCCTAGTCACACGGGGAAAGGACTCTAACCATCAAAAACCACCCAAGATTGCTTCGTGTAACACTCGCTAACGCTACAGACGTAAAGGATATAATAATAGCTGGTCACTTCCTGAAATCAGGTGAGAATGTAAGAATACTGCCAGATATACCGTTTTCTGAGCGTTACCTCATCCGGAAAATCCCTAAAGAATCTCGCAAGATTTTCCTCGGAAGAAGCATCATTGTGCAAGGTGTATCGGAAAACACGGACTCATATTTGGGAACGAAAATTCATGAAAAACATATTGACTCAACAAGTGGTGAGATTGGCAAGAAGGATGGAGATTCTAGACACCGGCTGATGAAGATAAACTTCCCATCCCCCTAAATGGCGGCTGCAACTCTTGAAGCATTTCGTGCCCACAGACGCCGGTTGCTAACTGGAATCTATATGCACCCAGATAGGCCACATGAGGCCGGGATCAAGCACAAAGGCGAGTTTGAGCTGACCACTCCGCTTGTGGACTGTCTTGATCATAAAAAACGTGGAAAGCATAGGGACTACCAACTCAGAAAACCTTGTATAGGTAGACTACTTGTCTATTCACATAAGCCTCATACAAACAGAAAGATAACGCGTTTCAAATCGAAAGCATAAACTGCTTATAAATGAACACCGAGAGTTGACCGAATAAAATAGATGAGCTACGTGAACTCAGCAATCCTAATAATGCTCATCTGATAGGAATATCTGAAATTTGGATATCTTCCTAGTTTGCAGACCAGGAGCTAGCAATACCCGGATGCCTTTGTTTCGCAATGACAGAAAAACACGAATCGGGGGTGGAGTAGCCTCATATTTACGATCGTGCCTGGAGGTACATCAAGTGCGCAACCAGGAGTTTATCAATCTTAATGAATCCATGTGATGTTCAGTAGGATTGTCTACCACCTCGAGATGTATAGTTGGAGTCATCTACAGGAAGCTCACTGCTAACAACGGGTATGGCAATCGTATGCCGGAAGGATTATCCCGCCTTACTCGTCTCGGATTCACTCATATACTGATTCTAGATTTCATTTTTCCTAAAGTCAATTTCACGGAATATATGTATGTTGAAGGTGAAAACTCTACTGAAGCACAGTTCTTTAACCTCATTGAGGATTTGGGATTATTCGAAAATGTGAAGTCGGCAACTTGCTGGAGAAATAGTCAGAAGCTGTCGCGCTTAGACTGGGTATTTACAAACGATATGTTAGTCAGATGACCATGCGTTCGCATATCGGTACCGCTGTGGTGCGCGCTACTTATATTGATATAATAAGTAGTATATGACGCGAGTTTTAAACGTAATGTCTGGCAGCAGAAGATGGAAGAAGATCAAGAGAGGAAGAGCGGGAACACAATGGAATTTGTATGGAAACTCATGAACAATGAAATGTCAGACAATCGATTGATGTTTGCAACAGGAACAGTCCAGTTTGATATGATGGATTGATATTTTGCAAATTAACGATTCACTATATGGTTGTTAGATTTTATTAACAAGTGCTGTAATTTGTTGTCAATCACATTTGATTGTCCCCACCTGTACTCTGTTCACTATACAGCGAGTCTGATTTTCATGAGTGTTTTGGTACGTGACGTTGGTCGATGTGCAAAATACCGTATCTATCCCGGTATTAGTGTGCGGACCGTTCTATACTGTGCTAACCATGATGACTATATACTCCGGTTTTGCATGAATATCATTTAGTAATTGTTTATTCGATAATAACTCCACCTGTATCCCCTCTTAGACTGCTCCCTGTCCTAAGCCCTACAAAAAAGAGCAGTTTCGGGCATGGGGTTAACGACCCCATCCCGTAGAAAACACTGAATCATTCAAAGCATTTATCATTTATTTAATGCATGAATTGCTTCTTGTTATTAAAATATTTAAACAAAAAATAATGAACAAAACTTTCTATTAAAAAAATAAATCAATTAAAAATAAAATGAGGAATAGATTAGATTATTATCATTTTGAAACAATGGTGACATAACATACTACTAACGAAGATCAACTTATTTTTTTTTGTTTTGTTTTTTAAATCCATCACATTAACTAGAACAGGGAAAGTGATACATAGATACATAACATACGAAAGAAAAAATAATAATATTACCTAACGAAAAATATCGATTGAATGTGAAAGTCAAAAGAAAAATGCACAAAATGTGTTGTATTTAAGTGATGATAAGAATAATAATTATTAGTGATGATAATATCATTGTTTTTTTCTTCCATAACAAACAATCCATTAAAGTTACATTTGAATAGGGGACAGAGAACTGACTAACTGAATTAACAATATACTTTTTGAAATTGCACCTTACCCCCCCTCTAAAGCTATGTAAATTGATTCATAGAAATTATCAGAAAATATTCAAATAGAAAAGATACTCATTGGTTTTACAGAACTAAAGAGAAATTAATATAAATACAACTTTACCAGTAGGCAGTCAAATTTTAAAAAAACCATATTTACAAATAAATAGTAGTCAGATGATATACATTAATGAAGTGAATATATGCAGGAGAAATGATTGAATTGTCTAACCCAATACTTGTTTAAATATTAACTACATATGGATTGTGTAATTTCAGTTGTAAGCTTTTTGAACACTCGAATACAACCATTACAATCAGCTGAAACGACTACTTCACCTAAATATACAAATGTTTCCCGGTTTAGATCAGTAGTAGTAACTGATGATTGATTTGGATTTAATAGTCTATGACGAGGAATACTACTGTTACTTTCATTAATATAACCACCAGCACAATTGCTATTATTCAAATCAGAATGATTTGAAATAGTGAGTGAATTCAATGGTTTTCTTATTGAACATGATTTATTCAATACTAAATTTGGATTTGGACTGAACACAGCTACTGTAACCATTGTATCATGGGCTTTAATCGCTTCCCAACAATTATTTCTATCTTTACGTATACGTGAAAATCTAGATATTTTGTCAACATCTAAAGATTTTTGCCAAATATAAAAGAATGCATTTTCGGATCCTGAGATTAGATAACGACCAGTTGGACTATTGTTAATCGTCAAATAAAATAAAAGCAAAGAAACAAATATAAAATCCTTAAGAAAATATGAAAGATATAAATCACTATCAATAGATTTGAAGTTGAAAACAATATATGAAATAGTAACCCTTATAAATAATATCAATAAGTATGATCATGAGAGTGATCTTTTACTTACATTTGGTAATTGTTACTGATATGGGTAATCAAGAATAAAATCAGATACTAAGGTTATTTACTGTGTGAATGACCTGTTAAAATTCGCATTCTCCAATCGATTAAATTTCAAATGAATTCTAATAATGTTTATTTTAAAATTTGATATTTTTATACATAAATATGTTTGGATTTCGATTAAAAAACCTATTCTGCTAGTCAATTGTGTTGTATTTAACTAACAGTTCATTTTAGGTATGACTTACAATAGTAATAAAGATAGCCGCGCAACTTCGTGGATTGGTTGAGGTTAGATTGGATGCCGGCTCAGTGGTCCAGTAGGTTAAGCGTTTGCGCGCGAGACTGAAGGCCCTGAGTTCGAATCTCGCGAGCTGAATCGTGGATAAGCACTGAAATAGGACGAAACGGCCGTCCAGTGTTTCCAGGTTTCCAATGGTGGTCTAACATCAATCGGTTCATGATCTCATTCAAAAACTTAATAATCTCCACATTCCCTAAAGTGATAATGATAATTCAGTTATACGAGTAGTTATCAGTCAGCCAAATAGTATCATTGCTTATCATCCATTGATAAGCTTTTTATACACGGTTTTAAACAATTTAAAAAACATATACTATTATATCGATATCTTAGAAGCATCCTACATAACAGTTAGAAATATACGAACTCAAAGATGAAGGTTAACTTTAGTAACTGTGAAATGATTCAGTTATAGAAATAATCACTTTTCACTTAAGATATTGCAGTTTTTACAACCATTAAGAAGTTAGATTTATTCACACTTCAAATAATTTATTACAGATTATCGAATGGTAATTTCTCAACTACTGAATTCATATACACTGTATACTTCAATAAGAAAATGGTTTTACAAGTGAGGAAGCTAAGTATCGTATTTATATATACACATAATTGTGAGTACATAACACCTAAGAAAATAGAAGTGCTAATTTAAACAAACCTTAAACAGCATAAATCAAATAACAAATTACATATATTTACGATGATAGCAAAAACCAATCAGGAAACCAATGAACACTAATCTCCAAGTGTTAAAAGTTAAGTTAAGAATATTATGATTAATCTAAATTGAAGAAATAACTATTTTGAGTGTTTGATAGTCCTTTGCCCCTTCACCAAATTATCTCCTAAAATCATTTACATAACCAAACAAGAGTCTTCAAAGGCAACACGAATAAAAAACGTGCAAATTGTATGTGCTTTAATAATTCAGCTCTTCAAGTCTGAACTCTGCGTGCAAAAACAATGAATACTTCTGATCAGTGAAATGTTTTCATTCTACTAATCTCTTTAATCTTTGGACTATTTATGCAACCGTTTTGATGTACTTGAATTTTTCAAATATTTAATGACAATCTACTTTTACTTTTCAATAGACTGATACTATAAATACAGTTTCAGCAAACGGTACCTTCGAAAAATAATTTATCTTCATTGAATCGGTCTTAATCCTTCAACATTCATATTTGTAAACCATTCTGACCAAAATATATATACTATTTATATCTTCTCTTCGTTTAATTATGTAACAGTTTATTGAGTTTCCATACAAAATTATTAACCATATATGGATGGTGGCTAACAGCGGAATTCAAGGTGCTCGTTTCTTTTTATTTGAGAATGATCAATTGTATGTATATGCACCCCAGAATTGATGTTCACCCTGGAACTCGAACCCAGTACCGTTATCTCGGTACATGATGGACAAATGGCAAGAAGAGACTGATCAAACGGAGCTCTAAAGATTGGTGAGGTCTAAACAACCAATATATATGCATTAACCAAATATTTTAATCATTCATTCTACTAACTATAAAGCTACAAGTTCAAAACTGATCAAAAACCAATCTACATAGCATCAAATCATACCATAAAAACAGAGTAATTCAATGTCTAGTAATATGAAAATATATGCATATATTTTGACTTTTGAATTTAAAAACCCTGAAAAAGATCTCATTTAGAGAAAAAACAATAATATAGAACAGAATAAGCTAGCAAAGAAGAGAAACCAAAATAGAAATAAAAGTATGATAGAAGAATAACAACAATAAACTGCTTACTTACCTGAAAGATGCACGTATTTGACTAGTTTCATTTAGAAATCCACGATATTTACATAATGTATGATAGTCACGAGCATCAACTAAACGTAGACGTGAATCATTTGATGTAACTAAAATCTAGAAATAAGCAACAATAATATAATGGTTATAGAATCCTAGAAAATATTTCACAGTGCTGACTAAAATTCAATGCTAGTTGACAAGTTTAGAGGGGAATCCCATGAAGCTTAGTTACATAGATTAGTAATAAATTTTCTAGGATGATGGAATATAAAATGCTTTTCTCTATTACCGATGTATATTTTTAACATTTCGTCAAGTTTATTCAATCATATTGTATGGAATTTATCACAATCTATGTGTATGCCGCGTCTATAATAATCTGAACTGAAAGTAATGTAGCAAGTAGTTAGTATTTTCATATCCATAGGTGATTTATTTTAACTTATGGACAGATGAATGAATTTAATTTTTCCTAATTATTCTATCACTCATAATATTTCCCCGCACCAATTATTTATGTGCAACTCTGAACATGTATTATACATTTGTGTATAAAACTATGTAGGTGTCTATCCACTTCCTGTGACTTTTTATCTGACTTATAAAAATTGAATAATATTATTAGTCTGGGATTCAATATATATTACTGAATTGCAATGCTTTATACAACCGCTTCATCTTTTAATTCCATGTCTGTCATTCAACTTTAGTATGTCTGAAATGTACGTATCATAAATACAATTTGTATTCGACATTTGATTAATCGTGTTAAATTGACAGAAAATAATATCAAGTAGAATAAAGTACACTTCAATAGAATTAATATCGTTTTGTTTAGAATGGAGTTAAACAATAAACATCAAAATACAGCTTATCAACAATTAGAAAACATGCATGAATTGATTAAGAGATAGAAATCCCTATTTCTCAATTGTCACACTATGACGATGACATATAACTACAAATGAAATTAAGATAAGACAGAGGTGTACACATCTTCTATTCTATTAAAAATGACTGAAATATTAAGTTATTTGTTTTTACATTGTTAACTAATAAAAAGATGATACTTATCATAATCACTAAAGATATGTTGACATTTTCAATGAATTATTATCAATTTATTAGTTTTTAACATTTTCTATATGTAAGATAGAGTGATAAAACACAGGTCAAACACATCCTTATATTTTATTTAAACAATTTTGATTGTTACATTTTTATTTTGAAGTGACAAAATCAAATCAACTTATAAGTAGTATCATTAAAAACAAAAGGAATAAGATGAAATAAATTAAAACATGAATACAGCATACGTACATACATACATACATACGTACACTACGTACGAACACACATCTACACAGTATCTAATTTATTTTAAATTTCAATATTTTTGCCGCCAATAAATAGTTTATTTAAAGAAAAATAAAACGATATGAACAAATACTTATTTAATTAAACAATATTTAAAACAATGTGTCTTTATGTGTGTACTTATGAAACAATGGATTGTGACCTGATATAATTTATAGAAGAGATAAGATTGAATTATTATTATTATTATGAGAACTTATAATAATTAATAATATTGAAAATTAATACATTTATCAATCGTTGAACCACTTTCTAATGAACAAGCAATAGACGTGAATATCTATCTAAGTAAATAAACTGTAAAGTGAATATAAGAATAGACAAATTAAAAGCGTCGAACACAGATGACATTGTACATTGAGACGAAAAAAATGTAAAAGCAATATCACGAAAGCTTAATCAAGTTAGCGTAGTAGTAGAACTACTACTATTATTACTGTTGCTACTTTTAATAATATTGAAGGAGTATTCTGTTTGAGTGACAACAAAATTCGACATAATGCCTCCTCACGGTTCTACTGAGTAGTAGGAGCAACCTTGCTAGCCAACTTAGACGGTCGATGAAGATCGGACTGATCACCCACTCTGTTTTATCTTTGATCGACTCGAGATCCACCTCGAGGCTCACTTAACCGCACCGGATCACCCGATGTGTATGTTTATGCATAAGAATTGAGGAAGTCATCAGGCTTATGTAGTCCATGTACGTATGTATATGCAAAGTGTGCATGTGTGATGTTGTACAAAGGAAATGCTAGCTAAAATACTATCATATGTCTAATAAAATCAGCGGCTTAATCTATCAGGTGGAAGATATAATAAAAAGATATGATAGCAAATACTAGAGAGAGGCGGCCAACAATCTCCCCCTAGAGAATGCTTATGCTTATGTGTGTGCCAGGAAGTATTGGGGCGGTAGTCATTTGCTGAACGATACGCGTGTAATGTATAAGAGATAGTCTGGTATAGTGAATGAGTTTCCAAGGGAGTGGTGAACATCTTATTTATTTATTTATTTGAACACATAAATATTGGTACAGGGGGGCACCAAATATATATGCGCCACACAAAACAATGAGAATTTGAAGAGAAGAAGAAAAGAGAAAAAAATAAATAAAGTAATGAACGTGGGGAATTATAAAAAAAAAGAGAGAGAGAACAATGGTGGGGGAAACGGAAAGATACAATCAGAAGAAATCTTTCAGTTAAGGAAGATACAACCACTTTTTATGAAGAAAGTAAAAGAAGGTTACAGCAGGATCGCCACTGGCTTCTATTCTGAGCCATATCTGATAACGTCTCTAGCCACTGCGTTACACCGTCTCTCGGACCCCAACCAGGGAGTCGTGAAGGACCAACAGAAGCTAGCCCTTTGCAGCTTTCTTTCATACCACGACACCATGTCATACACTGACCACCTCTCCGCTTTATACAACCAGTCCCAGAGTCGGCAAATAATGCACGACGAGGAATTCTCTGGGACGACATTCGTAGAACATGTCCAAGCCACCGAAGTCGGTGTTTCAAGATGGTGACACCAATAGAATTATCGTCTCTGTGACCGAACACTCGATACCGAACCTCTGCATTACTGACATGGTGTTGCCACTGGATGCCAGCAATCCTTCGGAGACAACGATGATCAAACACAGAGAGTCGTCTAACATCCTCAACTCGGAGAGCCCAGGTTTCACAAGCATAGAGCAAAACTGCTCTCACCGTCGCGTTGTAGATCCGACCTTTTACAGCCAGGCTAACATTACAAAGACTCCAAAGATGGCCCAGATTAAAATAAGTCGCTCTGGTTTTCACTATACGTGCATTGATTTCATCACCCATGCCACCACCAGCACTTATGCAGCTACCTAGATACACGAACTTCTCGACCACTTCTAACTGCTTACTACCCAGGATGAGTGCAGGATCAGTGTCCTATTAGTCTTGTAAAAGTTATTTGCACTTTGAAAGCTCGAAGCACATACCGTACTTACGATCACTAATTGTCAACTGATTAAGTACGGATTGCATAGCTTGGGTATCATCGCATAGTAAGACATTATCATCTGTATACTTAAGGTCGAGAAGTCTTTCTGCAGGCAACAGATCCACACCACCATTACTTACATCCGTCAGAGCTGTTTCCAGAATGTCATTGATGGCAAAGTTGAAGAGGAATGGTGAGATTGGTCAACCCTTCCTAACCCCACTGCTTGAATGGAATAATTCAAAGAGGTGGTTGTATGCCCTCACTCTGCCTAAAGTGTTTGTATGTAGGGCTTTCAATATGCTAATAAACTTCTCAGGCACACCCTTCTTCAATAGACAATCCCAGAGAATAGTCCTGTCCAACGAATCGAAGGCAGCCCTGATATCAAGAAACACTACGATTGTTGGCCTTCGATAAGTATGGCGGTGTTCTAACATTTGGCGGAGGGTGAAGATATGATCAATACATCCTCGACCAGAAAGAAACCCAGCCTGCTCCTCGCGAGTCAATCCTTCTCGGGTTCTGAACAACCTACGAAGTATGACGGAAGCCAATAGCTTGGATGCAATCGGAAGTAGACTTATCCCCCGATAGTTGTTACAGGAACAACGTGAACCCTTTTTAAAGATAGGGACAACTATCGACTTATTCCATGACGTTGGTACACTCTCTAGTTCCCAGACCTTTGTAAACAACGTCGTCAGTCCTTTAGTCAGAAAGTCACCACCATCTTTAAAAAGAGCCGGAGGTAAGTCGTCTGGGCCCGGTGATTTGTAACGTTTCAAGAGTTGGAGTTCCTTGCGGACTTCCGCCTCATTTGGTGGATCAGTCGTCATAGATTTTATAAATCTTTTCCTGCTTTTTGTTAATAAATTGTAGTTCTGCCGAATAAGCAGGCAATCAGTAATAACATTGGATTCATATGATCATATTAACCTTTCCTATTATCTGATTAGTTATTTCATTGAAATTCATAAAGTGTACTAATTGTATGGAAAATAACCATCTCAGATCTGTGATAAATATCACCCACTAGCAGCGGATGATGATTGTGCAACTTCAAGAATCAAGTGAAATTAGAATTGCTAAAGATCAGATACTAACACACTCGTTTGAAGGTTGACCGCTCCTCGTTAAGCCTAAAAGTCCTGGGTTACAGTTCTGGCGGAGTTGTGAATGTTCATTTCAGAAATATCTCATACTAGGACAAAATAACCGTCCAATGTTTCCTAATTTTCAATGTGTATTTAACTAAAGTCAATCTACGATGTGAAATTGATTTGTTTTTATTAACATTATTACAAATATTAATATTTATTTTACCTTATTTGAATCAGACGGATCACATTCGATAGCCGTAACACGACAGTGACGACCTTTTGCAGTACCAGATTTGATAGTTATGAAAGTTATGTACGATAGCTGTGAAATTCAACAATAAAACACAAATAAACGTAAAATTATCTAGATAGAAAAGAAAGGGAAGCTATGAAGTTTCATAAAGTTAAGTGAACATTTATGGTTCAATATCACAGAATCATTTGACTCTATTACCTAGGAAAAATATACCAGGTTGAAGATATTATTGCATGAAGTTACGTTTTAAAATACCACTTAAAACCAAAACAATGGCAATTTTTATGTGTGGGATTGTGACTGGGTTTAACCCCCTCTATCTAGACCAAAGAACTTTATGATTTTAATGAAATTCAATAATCTCCACAACCCCATACTGTAAATATTACTTTGATCAAAAGGATACCAGCGACTAATTATGCAATCAAAAAGGGGTAATGCAAAAACTGCAAGATCTCAAGGTCCTACATCCCATCGTTAACAGAAATACGAATGTAAATGCTGACATGTCCTATATTAGGATGAAGCAGCTTTCTATAATCCTTCCTAATATTTATCAGTTAACTAATATCAATCAATGATGAAATTCAACATTAATCAAAACATAATGACATTTTTAGAAATGGCAAATTATTAAAAGGCATAAAGTATCACTAACCTCACTATTAAAAAATAATACACGACCATCATATGTGCCGACAACAACTTTAGTGCCTTCACAAGCAAATGTTGCACAAGTGATCACTGTTTTGGGTCCAACACCACCACTTCCCTTTGATGAAAGACCCGGTAAGGATGTTGTATACTGTGAACCAGTATATGGGTTAGAACGTGTAAAAAAGTTAGCGACAGTATTTGTAGATGATGAATTAGTTGACACTGGTAAAGCACTAGGTACAGGAACTTCAACCCAAAAACGAACTTTTTTGTCTGGTATATTCCATAGCCGAAGTTTTCCATCCAGACTACCAGAAAGAAAATAACGATCATCCTAAGAGGGAGAGGATACAATTATTAAAGATGAAAGAACGCTAATTAGTTTAGTGATAGTATACGTTTACCAAGTAACCACCTTAAATACCCGAACAGCTCAGCTGCACCTATCGAACTTGAGGCATTATATGCAAACCTACCCAAAGACCATACTCCAACAATAATGGAAAAAACTAGCAATGCCATCAGACAAATCAAAAGTGGGAAAGTAGAAGGAATGGACAGAATATCAGATGAAGCACTGAATTCAGATAAAAAGATAACTACAGAAACATTTCACGTCCTCTTCAAACGGGTTTGGGAGAAAAAGAGGATACCACGAAACTGGAAAGAGGGATACCTCATTAATAAACCAAAGAAAGGAAAGCTAAGTAAGAAAACAACAGAGGATTTACACTACTGACTGATAAATCTTCTAATTGAACGCTTCTAGTATACCCCAGGCTAAATCTACACAGCGACTTGAACACTAGAGAAAAGGTGCGAGATATGTGAGAAAAACTTTACTCTTAGGTTCGTTTATGTACAGAAAAAATAGGGTTTTTATAGTATTTTAGATGGCCTTGGGTTTTCGGAAAATTCTGAAACGCTACTAAACGCAGTAGCAGTATGGGTAATCATCCAGTCGGATTTTGCAGATGACTAAACTGTAATATATCATACATAGAAATAAGTTCAGACGAATGTTGTTAGTGTAGCAGGATTTTCCTCAGAAGTAGGCCTCAACATTTAAAATGAAAAAAAGCAAGATCCAGAAGTACAAGGTAGTGAGCAACAACCAAAACACACTTGATAGTAAAGTTCTGAAAGAGGTAGAAACTTTTGCGTACCTGAGCAGCATCATTGGTAAACAGGGGGAATCTGATACAAATTTAAAGGCAAGGATTGGCAAAGCGAGGGCAGCGTTCTTGCAATCGAAGGAAATCTGGAACTTAAAATGACTGTCAGCCAACGCCACAGTCAGGATTTTCAATACAAACGTCAAAAGTTCTACTGTACGGAGTTGGAACTTGGAGAATCACTACCATCATCAACAAAAAGTACGAGTGTTCACAAACAGCTGTCTACGCAAGATTCTTCAGATCCATTGACTAGAGACAATCGACAATAACCCATTCTAGCAGGGGACAAACCAGCTTTGCAGCTAAGGCAGAAGTTAGGGAAAGACGCTCAAGGCGGGAAGGACGCACTTCAATAAAACCAGCACTGAGTTGGAACCCTCAAGGCAAGAGGAAGAGGCTGATCAAATAAATTTTATCTATAATCGTAAGGAGAGTTTATTGACGATCACTGGTTGGAGCCCTATGTATATTTCCGACAGAGAGAGAAGTAAATAAGCGATTTAAAATAAGTAAGACTATTATTAAAATAATGAGTGTCAAAACACAAAAACAACTATCAACAACATTTAGTTTAGTCTTACTGATATGAGGAATAACTAAAAGACAAGTGGTAATTTACAGGACATTTTATAAGATAGTAAAGTTCATTAATATAAGCGACTACTATTTGTTTATATCAGTATATATAAAATGTATACCTTTGGATGAAATACAATTGTTGGCACTGTATCATTATGACTAAATACACATAGGCATTCACGTCGACTAATATGCCATAATCGTACTTGATGATCCATACTAGTAGCTAGAAGAAATAAATTTTTAGACCATGCCAATTCAGTAACAACACCCTCATGACCTCTTAAAACCAATAATGGTTTTGAACGAAATACAGTTCTACGTTCTCGATGTAAATCATTCATTGTAGGCAATAATGCCGTTGTTGTTGTCGTCTGTGGTGGTGGTCCTGGTGCTGCCGTTATTCCAGAAGGTTTCGTCCTACTATTTTTAGTACTACCACAAGAGGATAATGGTGAAGGGAAGTCATCAGTTAGACCGAGTACAGTAGAATATCCTGGCGCAGAACTGCTACTAGACGCTCCATCCTGAAATGTAAGTAAGCAAAGATAAACAAAGTATTCAAATTAAAACATATATACCTAGCCAAATATAAAATTTAATTAATCTGTAAACTCATTTTACATGGTTATTTAAGATGTACACACAAACGAGCTGGAATGTTACAATGAAAAAATCTTATACTGATCAACGCTTAGCGTTTAGGCTAGTATTATTAAATAGTATCAAGCAGAGTTAATCTACAGGTTGGAAATCTATTTTTTCTTGAAGGAAAATTTAGTAAAACTCCACTTGTCAAGATTAGCCTAGTTGTATAAAGTTAGATTGTCTGTCATATTTAGAGGTTAACTGTTTTCTAGTTCCATTTTGAATAGCTACCACTAAATTTTATATCAGCCACTAATAATGACAACAATTTTCAAACTCATCAAGTTTTAACGTGTCAGTCTGATGGCAATTCACTTTTCGGCCGGTAACCAAACTTTAAAAGGTAATGCTAGACACATGCCTCCCCTAAAATTGTAAAATACTAACTGAACTATAAGTAAGGTAAGTAACTAAGAATAGGATAAAAAGAGAGTCGTTCTACATAGCAAACACATTGATTTGAGAAATTAAATAAAGCTAATCACTGGACACAATGATTGAAACACAACTATGAATCGATTGTATGAAACTAAGTTTTTAAGACTAATCTTCTCTTCATTGGCAGTGGCGCACCAAATGATCTAATTTGACCAAGAAAAATGTTAGAAACTTAACGAAAAGTCAAGAAGCTTGTGGAGATTAGTCCCATTTGTAGGTAGTACAGTTAAGGTACCACTGCGAATTGGGAAGCATTGGACAGCTATCTAATCTTATAATAAATCTCAGTAGCGTTTCAACACAGTGATGTAATAGCCAAGCGTTAATGAGAAAATCGTAGAAGCTGGATTCGATCTCAGAAAGATTTATAGATGTGCAATGCTAATAACCCTCATACCAAAAAGAAACAGCTGCACAGTTCCGCTGTTTTCAGTGACATTTTAACTGGAGTAAATATACAACGAACATTATCTACAAATTCATGGAATGGTTAAAAATATCTTTAGATTGTCAATACAGGTACATATTGCACCAAGAGTACACAATCACTAAATTTACTATAAACAAATATGATTAATAAACATATCATGAGATTTACCGCTTCACTAACATCAGTTTTACCTGATGTTGATAGTGTAGTTGATGCTAAACTTAATGAATCAAAACGATTCTCTTCATCTAAAGTTGCATTTGACGTAGTATTATTTGAAGTGTGGAAATCACTTGGCATAAATCCACCAATTGATCCATATTTTGAACTACTACTAGGGGGTGGAGCTAAAAAGGTTAGAAATTTACGAAAGAGAAAATGTGTAGTACTAATATTACCAGTTGGACAACAAAAAAGTCTACATTTGTTGTTCTTTTAATGACGAAAAGAGAAGACTACGAAAACATCATATTTAATTTTGATTTAATACATCATTTACTAGGCACAAATTTATTTACTTAACTTCAAGTCACACTCTAAGTATAAAAGCTAATGATACTGCCCAGTTCCCAAAACTTAAGTACTTAGGGAGGGTTTCGATCATACGACTTAGCAGATAGAAGTCAAACGCCTTGATCACTAGGCTACAGCTCCAATTCGCTCTTATATCTAATTACAGAGCAAAAAACTGTTAACGATTTCTGAAAAAAAAACTTGGTCAATAATTAATCAAGAAAAATTGTAAAACATATGAATAACAATAGTATATATATGGTATCTCAACTTATTAAAAACTGTAAATCATAAAAGTACAGTAGCAGGTGACTCTATTAGGAAAGTAAGCTATAAAATAAACTTTCTTTTCCTTGCATTGTCCTTCATATTCAGTTGATTACTGAAAGTAGGATTCGGTAGTCAAACATGTTTCGTTGGGTTATCATTTTAAGTCCAGGTGACAGTCAAACAACGAAAAAATGAATCAACAATTTCAATTCCTTTCCCGTAGTCTTAGTGCTGCTAACTTCTGATATTTCTGCTGCTCAGTAAAACAGAAAATACTGAAGAGAAACAATTCTTTCTTATAGTTGATCCGCACTATTTAGTTCAATGCGATCTGTTATTTATTATCAAATAAATCCAATCAATTATTTCAAGCAGTTGCAAGTCTGTAGCACCCGTAAACAATTCAGATTAACAATAACTTTATTCACTGGATAATTGTTTGAATATCCCTCATGTCACTAAAAGTTTTCCACTCTATTTCTATGTCGACCAGCAATACTGGGGAACTTCAAATATTAAAGTGTGTTTCGAAAGTCTTGATAAATTCGAGAAAGAAATCTTCGAATTTACGTACGTATACACTTAGATGATATGGTAAAGCTTGTATAAAAATGTATCATTTTAATATTTAAAGAGTCGATTTTAAATATCTTAGTATACATGGCATAGTTCGACAGATCATTTTAAAATTGTCATGTTCCATGGCCTGTCAAATATCAAGTGACCTTTGACAGAACACCGACATTTATAGCCTTGTTCCTGTAATAAATCAATGACACGTCAGCCAGTACTAGCAGCCTCGAGTCAAATCAGAATCCTTATTGGTCCATGATAGAGTAATTTCTCACCTAGTCCTGCCCGTTGAGTCCAGAACACAATACCCAATTCCACTGCATAAACGGTATATTTCAGACATACAAACAGACCAGATCACATCATATCATAAAATGAAAAATAATAATCATACAAGACCAAGCCAAAAGTGGCCGTGAGTATAGGAGACTGTAACTAATAAATTGAGAATGATAAATCGTATAATAGTAGCCAATAGGTCAAATGAAAACCTATGATATAAGGAATATATATATATATATATATATATATATATATATATATATAGTTACTTAACAATTATACAATAAGAAAATACATAATGATAGTCTGTAAATACTTCCTGGTAGTTACCAGTTATTTATTCCTTGTTTGTGTGTAACAATAATGATGCTTGAATTGTATAAATTCCAACAATTCACAGATATATATGTTTAAACTTAATCTATTTATTTCGATTTAGTTTAGTAATCTAATTCACACGAATAGAAAAGAAAACAATCAAACCATAATTCATATTTATCAACACTTTGAATGGTGTATATGGTTAATAAATAATGGAGTGTTCTACAATTTACACTGTGCATAAAGTTCACTCATTAATTCACAATAATTATAGAAGCAAATAAATTGATAAACGAAAACAGTGCGCATAATATTGAGAAGGTCACGTAATCATGAATATTTGATTTCACGTCCTAACCAATGCTATTCATTATTTTAAAAAACACACGAGAACAATCATATGATAGTAGTGTACTGATTTAATTCACTGAAGCTAAAACTCACTCAATTTATCAAATATAAACGTCAAAGGATTATGTGTTTACATCGTTTTAACAACTAGTAATCATTATCAGGGAAAAAGTAAATTTGTTGATCACTGTAAACAACATTTAGCTAATTGAAGCAAAATTATGTACTGGTAAGTATTTCATTGTAAAATAAACTTTTGAAATATAGAATTGTGTTACAATTACAGTACAAAATTATAACCAGTGTATCAATTATCCGCACCATTTTGTGGCTTAGAAGTAGTAGTAATCTTAGTATTAGCGAGGACAAGTTGATATATAATAGATTGAGAAATCAATTTTTAAGTAGGTCAATAATAATGAGGATAGCTGTGCTTCATTATGAATACAAATAAAAGATAAAATGAAATAATGTATAAGCAAAACGATAGTACAAATTATTGAAGGAATAAATGATAAACTGATCTTACACAAGATAAAATATACCAAAGAACGCCTAAACAAACGTTTAATAAATAAATATACACATGAGGTACGTTCAGAATAGCAAGAAAAACATGATCAACAAGTCAAAAGCCTCTATATGTCTTTGTTGAATATTCTCTACCGACGGCGTATCAAGTCAGTATTATGTTCTTCTATTACTAAATAAATAACCAATCGCTGTTTAATCATCGTTTACTTGTTATCATTTATATTTGGTGTATTTCTGTCCAACTTCTGCAGGCAACCAACTTTAGCATCGTGTTTTTTATTTTATTTGTAAAAGACAGTAAAGCTGAATAACACCCACTCCCCGAACAACATTGAGGTCTTAAACTGTTCTATTCAATCAGGAGACAGCAAAGATAAATGACACATTTTGATAGAACACAGGGTCAGGATAAGCATTTAAGGAATTTTGCGTGATGATAGCTCTAAATTTAATCTCTATTATCATTTCCTTACACTACCTCCCAACCCGACTGTAGCTGCTACCATGACGTGGTGACAGGCTTGCCTATCGTAATGACTCGACCGAGCTATATTGGCTGGAACACATGTTTCTTTAGGTCCTAACATGCCGAGCAGATTGGCTGGAGAACAGTAAAACCAAAACCAGCAACTTAAGGTCTGAGGGCGCAGTCATACTACTGAGTGCAGAGGGATGTGACAGTAGTAAGGTGTTTTCCTAGAAAAACCAGCAGCTGCAGCTTCGTGGCCTTCTCATAACGAAGGGAATGGGTTAGAAAATGTTAAGCCTGTAAATATCATACCTTATCCTACCGCACAGACTTTCATCTCTGGAGATAAGGTTTTTTGAGGCGCGGAGCTTGAGCATCAAAAACGTTTCGTGTCGTGCGTGACTGCTTCAAACAGTTGTCCCTTGGGCTCTATGGTCACACTCTTGGGTCACTATGACCACCACTAAAACAGTTCTCTTCATGTCCCTCAAGGAGAAATATTCCTTCTTCCTTTCTTGAATCATATCCTTGAACGCTAATGTTTCTATTGCCATCATTGCTGTTACTATCTCTACCATTCTTGAATTTCCTCTAACAACTTCATCACATAGTAGTAATGGCGTATGGTAACTTAAACAGATGTACATCCGTGCCCCCAAATGCCCTGGTATGGCCGAGAGTGGGGAGAGTCCGCTCTCCCTCTCGAAATGCTCTCACATGGCCACGCGTATATAGCCTCTGCCAGGGAAGTCCTACTCACTGCCTTCTCGAACCACGGGTGTTGTTTACGAAAATGAGAGGACGAAAAGCGAATGTCTGGCGCTTTAACCGGACCCCAAACCAATGGTGCACATGGGCTCCAGTATCCTGAGGGAACAAATGGCGTATGAACCAATCCTTGGTCACCGGCTACCATGGGACTGAATCTCCTCACGATGCTCCACTGCCTTGTGGGTAAGACGTTCAGGTCAAAGGCTCGGGGTGTGGCCCCCTAAGAAAACCACCTGCTTCGGTTTGGGCACCCGGACAGTATCACAGCCCTCACACAAATCAATTGAGATTTGTGTGGCGCATATGTATTTGGTGCCTCCTTGTACAAATGCCTATGTGTTAAAAATAAATAAATAATAACGTGCCAGGTTATATGTTGAACTTACTGACTGGTTTCTATTTCGAATATAAGCCATAACCTCGAAGCATTTTCCACGTTCACCACCAGCTCAGCGGTATAGTTTAGTCTTAATAAATCGTTTTCTAGTTTGTTACTTTAAACATTTTTGAGTGATCTAAGCAGTAAGAGAATTTACATGCTTGACCGGCTGTACAGTGACTTCCCAGACATCGACTCGTATTGCTGACCTTGATTTAACAGTAACAGAGTTTATTGTGATAATTTATTGTGATTGACTGATTCGTTACATGCTAACTGAGAAGAATTCTTACCCTAGTTGCATTGTCATTTTTTCTTATCTACTTGGTTTAGTATTAATTAGTTCCTATTGATTTGACCAAATTATCTTGGATTTACTGTTTTGATGACATAGACTGTGAAGCTGAGTGACGTGTGTTCGAATCCCATGAAAAGTATCAGTTCCCTCAAGATTACAGGTACACTTTGCTGATGAGTGTTGACTAGCATAAAACCTAGGTTTATGTTTTCCAGCTAGCTATCTTCGACAACCCAACATTTTAACACATTGCATTAATATTTGTGGGGACATTACAACTTGATTGACAAGCACTTTCGGTACACATGGAAGAAATCTACACTGTTCATTTAGATTTCCAATGAATTAAATAGTAGCTTAACAAATATAAAGTCTCTGCGCATTACTCCTAATTGAACTTAAAATCTAACACTAACTTCTAAGAACTGTTTATGAACTAATATTATATATATTCTTATTGTATAACTAGAAGGAAGACCAATCACTGAGATTCAACAACAGCGCAACAGATGGGCAGAGTACTTCGAGGAACTCCTGAACAGACCGGCTCCAATGAATCCACCGGACATCGAAGCAGCACACACAG